CATGATAGTGTAGGTACAGGTAAACACATCAATAGAATACAGAGACCATAGATAACTCTAAGCCTCTCTCTCTCTCTCACTCTCTCTCTCTCTTCCCCTTTCCTCCCTCCCTCTCCTATGACTGAGTTACCATGACAGATGATAGCTATGAGGCAGAGAATCCAATGAACACTCGCAGAGTAACTGGCTTAACACAAGGAAAACATAAAACTTGATTTCCACCTCATACCATATACATAAAGAAATTGCAGATGACTTCAAGTCCTAAATGTAAAAAACACAACTTTAAGAGACCATAATGCTAAGTGACATAAACCAGACACAGAAGGATAATGTATCACATGGTTTCTCTTCGATGAGAAACCAAAAGTATAAATAAGAGCAAAATGAAAGAAAGATGATAGGAAACCGGTAGATGGACTCTCTGGAGATTGAAGTAGCTCTGGAGTGCAGTGAACAGTAGGAAAGGGAGAGGAAAATGGATCAAGATCCCATACATGTATGTACCAATTCCCCATGATGAATGTATGTATTATGCGGCATAAAACAACAGGAAAAAATAGCCCCACCTAGCAACTGACCTAGCTACTCTATGGTGAGTAGTTTATTTATTTATTTATTTATTTTGGTTTTTTTTCCAGTACCGGGAACCAAACTCATGACCTTGCGCTTGCCAGGCAGGCGCTCTGCCGCTGAGCTAAATCCCCAGCCCCATGGTAAGTAGTTTATTACATGAAATCGGAAAAGAGCAAAAAGATCTATGTACATCAATGTATGTTCATGTCTTTATTTTATAATGTGAAAAACCTTAAAAAATATATAAAATAAAAATTATTTAAATAAATTTTATAGTATATATAGCTCAGAAAATGATGGGAATCAATAGCATGGACATAAAGATTAATCCTATAAAAAGAATCACTGTATATGTAGTTATAGCAATCAAATCTGTATTGGTAAAAATCAGTGGAATCTGTCCAAAAGAAGAAAACACTTAGTAATATACTCATGCAAATATATTCACAGGACTTTTGACAAAGGTACAAAAGTAATTTAAGGTGTGGAAAGGTGATCTTCATGACAACTATTGTTACAGTAATTTCACAGGCCAAAATAAAACAAAACACCTGGTACCTAGGTCTCACACTTTATATTAGAACCAAAAATGGACAATATCCTTTTTTTCCCCTTTTCTGAGACAGGGTCTTGCCCTGTAGTTCAGACTATCCTTGAACTCACTATGTAGCCCAGGCCAGGCTAGAACTAGTGGCAATTCTTCTGCCTCAGCCTTCCAAGTACTGGGATTATACCTGGTTGGACCACATATTTAAACATAAAACTATACAGCTTTTAAATGAAAAAGACACAAGAGAAAACCTCTGGCACTTAGTGTTAGCTGAAGAATTCTCAGACTTAATCCAAAGACATTCCATAAAAAATGTAATAAGGGGACTTTATAGAAAAAGAAAAACTTTTGCTCCGTGAAATACCCTTGAGAGGATGAAAGATGAGTTAACAACTAGAAAAAAACACAAGCCACATGTTGACAAAGGCCTAATATACAGAATATGTTAAAAACTCTCCAAACTCCACAGTGAAAAACCAAACAACCTAATTAGAAAGTGGGGGACAGACACAAACAAGCACTCCACTAACGATGACATTCAGCGGCAGACAAGTACCTAAAAAGATGTTCAGCACCATTAGCTGTCAGGGAAATGCCAACTAAAACTGCAAAGAGATCTCACTGTACACTTATCAGAAGGCTTAAATGAAATTTTTAAAAAATAGCAATTATACCAACTGCTGACAAGGACACAGACTCTGGACCAGTTATGCATTCTTAGTGAGAACATCAAATGGTTCAGCCATTCTGGAAAAGTTTAGGAGTTCCTTCAAAAACAATTCAGTGACCATACAATCCAGGAATTGTACACTTGGATATTTACCTCAGAGAAAGGCTTGGGTTCACATAAAAATCTGTTTATACACAAGTATTTGTAGCAGCTTCATTTGTCACAGCCCAACCCTGGAAACAATCCTGATGTCCTTCAGTGGGCAAATGCATAAAAATACTACATTGCAATGAGGAATATGATTCATCAATAAGAAAGGAAAAAACTACAGATGTTCACAACACCTGGAATACACCTCCAGAAATCCTGCAAGGAAGGGGTCAAGGCCCAAAGTTATATGCTGTATAACTACATTTATATATTCTCAATGTGAAAAAATTATAGAAATGAACAGGTTAGTGATAGTCAAGAGGTTACAGAATGAAGAAGGGTAGGTAGAAAGCTGGGGTAGCTATAAACAATCAGAGGGATCTTGTGAAGATGGAAATGTTGTGTGTCAGTGTTAATATCCTGCCTGTGGTGCTGAATCAGACCTTTGCAAAATATTACCATTGGAAAGCTTAGAGAAAAGGTGCTTGAGTCAAGCATGGTGACACATGCCTGTAATCCCAGCACTGGGGAGGCTGAGGCAGGAGGATGGCCAAGAGTTTAAGGCCAGCCTGAGCTGCATAGCAAGTGGCACTTGGCATCTATTTATATTTCTTATTACAAGTGTGTATAAATCTAAAATTATCTTAAAATCCACATATTAATATAAATATGCAGTAATAGCTGCCTAGTATTCACAGAATATCTAGCAATATAAAATACTAGTATTACAAAAGTATCAGTAGTTATCTATATTGATAAAACGTGACTTCTCAATTTCTTCTTCATACATTAATGCATTACAAATTCTTTTTCAATGAGCATACACTACTAAAATAATAAGTCAAGATATTCTATTATAAAAGGATATATGCTATTATATACAATTTCACTGAGTATTTTACTATATTAATTATTAAAAATTTTTAAAAGCTGCTTAACGTTCTATCACATTGGTCTCTGATCTATGACAGGAAATGTTTCTACTTTCTGATTGGTTAAAACACACACACACACACACACACATACTGCAAAAGATATCTTTTTTTGTCTGCTTTGAGTCAGGGTTTTACTGTGTAGTTCAGGCTAGCCTTGAACTCACTATGTAACTCAGGCTGGTCTCAAACTCACGGTGATCCTCTTCCCCAGTCTCCCAGGTGCTTGGATTACAGGTATGCACCACCTCACCCAGCTAGCAGCAGATACCTTTCTACCCTTTTTGTTTGTTTGTTTGTTTTTTCTCCGGTACCAGGAACCGAACTCACGACCTTGCTACCTTTCTACCTTAATCTTCGCATGCATTCCTGACTGCGTTCTATGATAGTCCTTTAGCCATGCAGGTACTGGATCATGTTAGGGACGCTGGAACTGAATAGCTGCTGTCAATGATGCCCCCTTCATTAGTGTATGTATGTGAGAACACTCTACCCTGTCCTTGAGAACTTGGCAAAGCTTGATTCACATTCCAAGCTCCACAGACCAATTAAGTGGGTAAGCAGACATGCTGGCCTCATCTGGTGACAACATGGTTAATAAAATTGACCTTATACCCATCTTTTTTGCAACTGTAACACACCTGGGTCTTGTTTATTCATTTTCACTTCCCTTTGCATCCTGAAGGTTCAAATTTCTCAGCCAAACACCCACAGCTGACCTCTTTCTGCCTCGTTCATCTTCCCTGGCCACTCTCGCATCTTTGCTGTCCCTCACACATCATGGGACAGTGCCTTTGCTCCATGGTTCTTGTCTGGGTATCTGCAGAGCTCGCCCCCTGTCAGAGGCCTTCCTGTCCCACTCTGGGAAAATCCACCAGCACTTTCTCCAGCCTCCTCTGCATTTCTCCATCCTCCAAGACACTGCCATCCCGATTCATACAGACTTTACATTTTATCTCTTTATCACTGTAAGAAATAAAATCAGCTCTAGTGGCTTTAAGTCTAAGCCCTCCCTCTTAGAATTTTTGTACTGGTGTCCCTTTTCTATGTTAGCTTGCACCTCTACAAATACTCACAATCTAATGCTGCTTGCTGAGGAACCCTGGTCATACCACCCTCTCTGTTCAGTACCCGAGATCGCCACTCCGTGCATCTGCCTCTGCCTCTCCACTTTTACAACACCCAGTCTCTATATCCTTTGAGTCACTCACATCAACAAACGAAGTAACATGAGTTCAATAACTAAGCATGTTTGGTTCAAAAGTAACTCAGACGTAAAAAACCTTACAGTTCCTAATTGGAAAAAGAAAAACACAGAATGTATGGTTTATGTTAAGACATTTCTATTCCGTATTTCTTCATATTTTGTCAGTTCTTTGACTTGAACCTGGTCTTTCTGCCTGAAAAGTCTTATTCCAATTGAACATTATCCAAGGACTTCCTTTCTGACTTTCATTATGTGTAGTATGGTCCTCCTCTCTCTGAGCAGGGAGGAACAGCACAAGATGCCTCTCTCTGACATTTCTTCTGTCTAAGCAAGCATTTTTCTACTTCAGTGAGCCGTTGTTTCATAGTAGACTTCAGCAGAGAATGTTTTCTTCTCCTTCAAAATATATTTGAAAGCCCTATTTTTCTTTCTATTACTTCCATAGGTTGTATCTTACAGGTATGAGGAGTCTGATCCATGTAATCAGTCTGAAGAAAAATTCTTGCTCTAAAATATCATTAAACAAATTACTTGTAAGGAAAAATATATTGAGGTAAAGAAAAAATATGTATAGCCTTATCAAAATACCACCACTATAGTATTCTTTGTTCTCTGTCATTATGATATATAATACAATGTGACTTGACAGACCATTTTCAAGGCTGCAGTGAACTACAAATATATATTTAATTTTTCCTTAAAATCTTAAATAAATTAAAGCAGTGAAATGTTACTTTAAAAACTGTAACACCCTATGTTACTTTAATGGTACCATAATGGCTTTTAAGAACAGAGACACTTGTCTAATTCTACACCAAAGGATCCTGAGATATTCAACTACATGCTTCCAGGTGGTACATGAAATACTCCCCAGAGAATTATAATCTTCCTCCCAACCCGTAAGAAACTACTCACCAGACTTCCTTGCTTTCAAAGCAATAACAGCTGCTAGCTCTCTCTGCACCTAATAAAATATGAGAGGAAAAATTAAATTAGAAAATGAAAAGGGTAGCCACCAAAGCAGTACTTTGTTTTTTGATGTGCAACCCAATTAGGAGCTGTTGCAATGAAACCTAAGTTTACTGGTATCTCTGTTTTGTTTTGTAATAGAAAAACTTCCGCAGAGCAATTTTCAGGCCAAAAATTCAGACAAATCATATTGACTTAGTTTTTAAAAGTTACTTGGCAGGATGTGTATATTGTGAAACATTGGTACATATGCCAGGATGAATGCTTCAAAAACATAACTATGCTATATTCAGAAACCATGAAGATACCAATTAAATTACTAAAATATACATGGTACCCTAATAAAGACACTAAATATTATTGGTCATTCAAAGGTACTAGCTCATATAGAAATTCTAGAAACATTGAGATAAGGGTTTCTGGTTTAAGTGGTTCTCTGTTCAAACTAAATGAACATTTGTCACGTTTTACAAAAATCATTTTGGGTAATATGCCACCTAAAAGCAACTGCATGGACTTAAGGGCAGGTGAAACGTGAACTGCTATGGTTGAGATGGAGAACATCCCCCAAGGGCCTCCTGTGCTTCTGCGCCCTGTGCGGGCGGGTGCTGTAGCTGACTTGCTGTCGGGAGGTGAGGCCTGGTGGGAAGAGGCTGGTCCTGGGGTGTGACCGGAAGGGTGTATTTGCTTCCCTGCTCCTCCCTTCCCTGTTTCCTGACCACAGTGATACGAACAGCTTTCCTTCTGCTATGCCCTTCTGCTATGCTGTTCTGTCTTGGAGCCAGCTCTCTGTGGACCAAACTGAGCCAAAATAAACATCTCCTCCTTTCAGTTGTGGGTGTCAGATGTGCTGTCTCTGTGAAGACAGTGACTAAGATAAGAATAGGCAAGATGACCTTTAAAACCCTAAGTGTCTTAGACCCTATTTATCTTCCAAATTTTTAGCACTTCCATGCCCTCTTGTCCTCTCCTCTGTGAATGCTTGAAATCCTTCCTTAAAAGCATTCTCAAAGAGGAACAGTAAAGAGACAAACATTTAAACCAAGGTCACTTTCAAAGATAACATTAAAGTAATCTCTGAGAAATCTATGCTTGGTATCAAATAAAAATTCCTAACAACTGAGCTCTTTCTCTTTGGGACACTGCTCAGAGGCATGTGTGTGTGTGTGTGTGTGTGTGTGTGTGTCCTGCATGTGTGTGGGTGCATACATGTGTGTGCACACACACATGCCCACACACATGCGTGCCTGTGGGTGTGTTTGGGTGTTTGGAGGTGGTAATGGTGGAGATTGGGATCAGCTGAATATATTACAATAATGACACTTTAAAGGGAGAACATGGGAGTTCAAGGTTAAGTTGCAGATTTGCTATTCAAATTAATTTAATTTATATTCATTTACTGGAAGGCAAGAGCAGCAATGCGCTAGACCCCCGGAGACTCCATTCCGGAAGCTTTCCCAGTGGCCAGCATTGGCATCATACCCTGAGGAGGGCAGCTTGCCTGAGGCTGTTGTCCTTGCCCTGCTTTCCCTGTAGGCTGATGTGAATGCCATTCAAAAGCATACACTCTTGATTTAGCTGATTCTTTGATGCAGGAAGACTCTCTCAGGACAATCAAAACAATAGCAAGAAGGCAATCACTCCCTCTCAACACCCTTGAGAGCTTGGCTCTAAAATGCTCATGGCTAGAAGATTTACAGTTAAAGAAGTAGAGGGGAAAAAGGGACTGGGGGCACAAAAGTGAGAAATGCCATGGGAAACCTTTATAAACATGTGAAGGTATACAAATAAAAAAAAGTGATGAAATTAACATACCAATCATCATATACTTTATATTTTGAGCTGCTTGTAGGTTTATTGTATTTTGGAGTTTTTCTCCTTCACAGGACCATAAATATTTGGATGTAAGGCAGAGATGAAGATTCTAAACATTCACTGCGACCCTGTCAATGGCTTCCCATTCTCTGACCTCCCAGGCAGGACCCCACTGTGACAACAGAGATGCATGGGATGGATCACTTATTTGCTCACAAAGAATCAAAAACAAGCCTACTTCACCCTCCTATTTCAGTTTTCCAGGTCTGAAGTCCTCTCACAGGAACTCAGTGAAGTAAGGGTCAAAATATAGAGTTCAGGAAAAGGAAAGTATATTCTTGAAACTATATACCGCTGTATCTCTTTGATAATTTGGTACAGAAAGGAAGGAGCAATGAGATGAGGAAGAGCACAACAGAGCGTCTCAAGGTACCACAAAAATGAGAGATCTGCAGAGAGAAAGGAAAGAGCAATTCCACATCTAGTTTTGAAAGAACCTAAGCATTTTTTTTTCCCCACATAAAATAAATGAGCTTCCTGGGCATACTGCAATCTTTTTAACCCCTACAGTGGAAGGATATGTTTTATGCCAGGTGGAATGTAGTCATAGTGTGATGGTGGATTGATTCAGAAATTTAGTTAAGAGAAGCTTAACTAAATTGTTTGTTTGTTTATTTGATTTTTCTTCCAGTACCAGGAATCAAACTCACGACCTTGCACTTGCCAGGCAGGAACTTTGCCGCTGAGCTAAATCCCCAGCCCCTAAGAGAAGCTTAACTAAATTGGCTCAGCAATTCTACACCCTAGCGTGTAGAAGACCCACCCTAGGGCAGCTTGTCACCTGGATGGTATAAAAGGAAAATGAAGAAGGATGGATCTACTTCTGTTTTTTTGAAGGAGCTCTAGCCTTTGTGTTCACCTTAGACATCATCTGTCTTCCATGGCAAACTCTTCAACCTTCCTTCGAAGACCCATCAGCCTCCTGATATGGATTCACATGGGACACTGCATTGAGCTCCAGACCTTGGACTGAATCCTTCCATCTCCAGTGTGCAGACACTCTCTGCACACTTCTTCACCCAACTCTGTGGGTGGCCATCATAAGCCAATCCTGTAAACTTCTATACATTTGTACATCTTGTGTTACATCTGTTTCTCTAGTAAAACAATGACTGATACACATAGCTTCCATACTTCTTCTCCAGAATGGATAAGATTTTTAACAAAAAACCCAAAGGGACCTGGGGCTATAGTTTAGTGTGGGGCACTTGCTAGTATGGGTGAAGCCCTGGGTTGATTCCCAGCAGTGTACAACAACAACAAAGGTAGACTGTTCTTCCTACAAAGCACAAAAGGGAAAGCACCAATCAAGCAAAACACAAACTGGGTACGCACTCCTTACGTGCTCACATAGCATCTTCTCAGATCTTTAACACACTGGCAACCACAAAATCATTTCAGACTGCATGGCTGACGTCTGTCTTTGGGGCTGGAAGCACCACTGAGTCAGGACCTTTCCCTTCCTTACGTTTTCCACAGCATTTGTTCGGTGACCCACAGAAGGTAGATATACAGATAATGCTTAAGAGAATATAGAAAGGACCTAAGGGAATGAAACGGCTCAAAGTGAACGGGACAAGGAACTTTCAAAGAGAAGACAATCCCTTGCCCTAAGCTACTCCCATCAGAAATCTTCAAAACATGTTAGAAGGACTCAAAGTCCCGGTTACAAAACTTGTGAGGTTTATGTTGAAAAATAAAGACTTTGAGCCACTGCTTAAATAGAGGCTAGAATTTTCTGTCCATACGAAGGGGCCTGTTGGCGTTAGAAAAGGAACGCTGCCCTCCCACACTGTCAAGCCTTTAAGCAGAAGACGAGAAGCTGCCTCAGTTCTGAACTACACCTTCTAGGAAACCTGAGCAAGAATCTCACAGCTGGACACTCCCAGATTGCTGGAGAGCTGCAGAGGAGTCTTACAGGACACTGATGATTTTCTTCTACACCTACTTTGATTGTTGGTTAGATTTAGATTCTCCCACCATGCCTATACATGACCTTCTCAGGGGAGGCTTGCAAAGTGCATATGAGAGCCACGAACCACATTCTCACATGGGCTACTGTTTTTATATAAGGTGGAAGCTGAACCACTACCTCAGTAATTAGAAAAAATCTAAATTATTACTTTGGCCTTTCCTTTCATAACCTTCTCCTACTATAATCCATAACCTTTTCTTAACCCTATGGAGGTAACTGCATTTCAAAATTCAACATTTTGCACATTTCACAAAGTTATCCTTTCTACATCATACCCTCAGTGAATCTGGAGCAGCTACTTGTTAGACACATTAACATTTCTGTGAGGAGATACATGATTATTCACACCAAATGGGACAAAAGAAGACTAGAAAAAACCTCAGGTTTTGATACCAAATATACTCAGTTTTGGTTAGATTTTGCCACCAAGTAAGTTATGAAAACCCTGTGTTTTAGAGCATTTGTATTTCAGAATTGTGAATAGGGACTATAAACCTCTGATGCCAGGTGCAGCAGCACACACTTGAAATCCCAGCACTCGGGAGGCTGAGGCAGGAGGATCGCCATGTGTTTAAGGCCAGCCTGGGCTACATAGTGAGTTCAAGGTTAGCCTGATTACAGAGTGAGACCTTGTCTCAAAAAACAAAAACAAAAACAAAAACACTCCTCTGGTAAGTTGTTTTTTGTTTTTTTTTGTTTTTTTTTTTTTTGGTTTTTCTCCGGTACCGGGAACCGAACTCACAACCTTGCGCATGCCAGGCAGGCGCTTTTGCCGCTGAGCTAAATCCCCAGCCCTCCTCTGGTAAGTTTATACTGAAAATTTCTCTCTTTTATTTGTCTCATGTCTCCTGTTGTCCAATGGCTATTTAGAAAACTACTTTTGTCTATTAAGAGATGTTTTCTTTAAATAGCATGAATTTTCATCTGTTGCAGTAGTTCAAACCTGACTGCACATTAGAATCACTTGGGGGGCTTTAAAAAACACTGCTCCACCAGCCCCCATGAAATCAGCATCTCGGGGGAGAGGAGGAGTCTGTCCTTTCCTGGCCTCCCACAGATTCCAGGCTGCAGCCAGGGCTGGGAAGGGGACAGATTAGTTTCTCTGAGGCTCCACATTTCACTCTTATGTTCACCCTGTCGGACAA